AGGAATCTCCATGGCCCAGCAGGGTCCTCTGCATAGGTAGGGTCTCTTGAAAGGCTGCAACCAGGGTATGTCAGTTGAAACCGTCATGTCAAGGCTCAGCCTCAGAAGCATCCACTTTCAAGCTCACTCACATGGGAACTGGCAGGATTCAGTTGGACTGGGGGCTCAGTTCCATACCACTTAGCTGGAGGCCTTCTTGTCCCTTGTCACATGGGCCTCTCCTTATGGCAGCTCATCACATCAGAGTCACAGAGAGAGAATGCAAGCAAAGTGTAGTCTTTTATAACCTGATCTCCAAAATGACAGACCATCACTTCTGCCATAGTCTATTAATTAGAATCACTAGGCCCAGTCCACATACTCACAGAAGGAGAGGGTCATACAGGGAGCAAACAGTAGGAGGTGGGGGTCACTGGAAGCCATCCTGCCACTCTTGCCAACAGCTGATTTGTAGTATATTCAAAACCCAAATCCATGTCTGTCTGACTTACAGTAGCCATGCCGTGTCCACCAAATGACAGTCTCACAGGTTTCCAATATGTGCAGAGTTAATTATATTTCACTTCCAAGGCACTATTACATGTGTGATTTGTTTCACTCAAGATATACATGGGTAGATATCTTAATTCTCATTTTATAAAAGAAAAATTGAAACTCATGAATCGTAAATGACCCATGGACTTCTGTAGGTGATGATAATATTTAATGTTGAAGTTAAATGACTTTTTAGTGTTGGAACCTAAATGATATGCCCAAGTTCACACCAGATGGAGCCTGGATGCAGGTTTTCTGCCTCTGAATTCCAAGAAGTTCAATGCTGCAATGTATCTTCCATTGATTTCCACCTATTTTCCACAGAGCTCTCCCATGCAGCTCCTAACTCCCATCTGTCTGTAGGCAGAAGCGTCAGGTCCTAAAGCCCATCAGAGGGAACCTCAGGCTCCCATGACTTTCCAGTGTGACTGCAGCTCCGAAGCCACCATGGTGGGAAGATTGGGAATGAGGTGAGAAGAGATCTGAGAACTTTGGGATCATCCCCTGTGGTTGAATACAGATCGCACTTCCCTGCCTGTGGATCACAAGGTGACTTACAGAGTTAGAAGTAGAAAAATACCTCACCCAGTACTCAAAGAGCATCAATCTTACTTTCATTCTTTTGCAGGTAGCTCTGGCAACTCTTCTTCTTCTCTCGCCAGTCACAACCAATCACTGAGAATTCCCAAATCCCTTTCACACTCACCCTCTGCTGCCTGCTCATGCAGCAGCCTCCTTACTCGGTCGTTTTTCTGTCTCTAGTCTCCATTCTGAAGTCCATTCTCCACGGCACCCAGAGTGAATTTTCCAAACTTTGATCTGATCTTGGAACTTCTACTTAAAACCTTCCACGGTTCCTCATTGCTCCCAGCATAAGGCTGATATTTCTTATCACAGTGTGAAGGCCCTGCCCAGCTGGCCTCCTCCTTTCTCTGCCAGCCTTAGCTCTCATCATTCTCCCATCACCACTTCTGCTGCAGACGCACTGACCTGGCATGGCCAATGTCTCTCATACGCCCTCCTCTTTCTAATTTGCTGGCTGTCCTTGCTGTCTCCCAACCTCTTTTATATCTTAAACTAATCAAGACTTCCAATTTATTCCTCATCTAGATTTAATATCCTTCGTCATCCCATAGAATGCCTTGTTGTACCTGTCACACTGTGTTGTTATTGTATGATCAGCGCCAAAAGGAGCAAGCCTGAGTTTGCCTTGTCTATGATATCCATTGTGGCCAGCATTAACATCAGGACCATGGGAGTGACTTGGCAAAAATTTGTTGAATGAATGAGTGAATGAAAGCAATCTCCATTCCCATGTTCCTGGGATTAAAGGCTTCCATTTACTTACTCACCAACCCATGGGTCACCGAGGTTCCTTTAGTCCTGGTGACTCCAGGGGGGTTGTCCAGTCATTGATGGGGGCCCCCCACAGCTTGAGGCAACCTCAAATGTATTCATACATTTGTTTTGCCAGCAAACATTTGTGCCAGCCGTGTTGGGTGCTGGAATAGAGTTGAAGATGAGTAAAGAACATAAGAGTTGAGGCCAAAATGAGTTCTCAGTCTGGTGCCTGAAGCATATGCAATTTCAGAGTTCCTCAGGGAAATAATAGGCTCTTCTTTGTAAAGTACCTAACAAAGACACTACCTTCGTATTACTATCCTCTCTCAAGTTCATCTGATTTTTACTCACTGTAGCGTCATCAGCCTATTCTGCTCATGTTCAGCCTGTTCTGTTTACTTTTTTATTTTTGTTTCACTTTTTAAGTTTTGTGGGTATGTGGCCAGTGGCTAGCAATACCTCCTCTGCACTGATGACAGCACGCACACCAGCTGTAGCTTTATTGTTTGGAATTGTTTTTGAGATAGTAATAATTTTAGGAGTTACTGGTGAAAAGTGATATAGGTTAGCAATATAGTCGGTAATATACTTTAACATTTTATGACCCTTTCTTCATTCCCTTCTAGTTAAAAAATAAATTTAAAATATCCTTCTTAGAGGCTTAGGGGCTTGTAAGCTTCTATAGGATTTGAAGCCATCATCATTAGGGTTTGCAGTTAATATTCCACACTGCTTCAGTCTATGAGGAGAAAAATCTCCAGCAGGATGGACCTGAGTTTTTTCTCCTCCAGTATAAATATTTATATTATTAAATGTACCTATAAATAAATAAGTACAATTATTCATGTATTTATTTACTCCCTCATTAGTTCTAATATTTATAATAGTCATAATCATGTAGCATTGACTCAGTGCTCACTGTATGCTAGCCACCATATTAAATGGTTTCCATTTATAATCCACAACAGCCTTAAAAAGAAGTCAGTACTCTTGTTATCCCCATTTTATAGATAACGATGAGGATGCTGAGATTTGACAAGGTCAGATAAGTCACCCAGGGTTCCACAAGTATTAAGTCGCAGGACAGGAATTTGACCTCAGGCCAGCCTAACATGGGAGTCCACATTTTTAACCATCTTACCCTTCTCAATTCCCTTAATTCTAGAAATATTTGAGGTTGCTTACGAAAATACGCTCAGTACACAAGAAGACAAATCAACGAAGTCAACAGATAAACAGAAAAATTAAGGTAGAAACAAATAAGATGAAGTTAGACTTAATATACTACGTATATATCCATAGAGTCCTGTGCACTTTGCAGAAGAGTGCAGCAAGTTTGATTCTATATTTCTCAAGGAGAGAAATGTATTTATTTACATGTTTTACCATATTCATAAAATCAAAAACAAACAAGGTGCTCAGGGGAAAAAACTTTCTATCTTGATATTGAGACTTACAGAAAACCTCTCACTTGAGCCTCTTAAAACATTACTGTGTAACATAATAATAGACTGTTGAACTTAACAGCATCCCTACAGCAAAGTCAGCAACCATTCTGTGGGGCTGTTTCATAGATCCATTTATAACACATCTCAGTGTAGTGAAACATCAAAGCCTGGGTTCAGAGGGCAAACCCCAGATTTTACAGCTCTCCAATGGCTTGGCTGAATCCCAGGAAGCAGAGCTCCAAAAACACATTTTCTAACGCCAAGCCTGGAGATTTATTCCCTGACAGCAATCTGGGGTGTAGGGATTCCACAGCACCAGTCAGAGGTAGGCCTAAGTCCTTCCATAAAGTATACAGGTGTTGACACCTTCGTGTGAAGAGCAAGAAACGCTTAGAGGCTTAGCATCTGATGTTTGCACCCCATTCCCACCTTTACGTAGAGCCAGACACGAGCAGGGCTCAGATCCTCTCAGAAGAGGATTCTGGTGGCATCAGGGTCATGTGGGTGATACACTCCCAAAACGTTACTCCATAGAACATGGCTACAATTATTTCAACCTGGAAAAATATTTAGTCAGCTGTTACTAAACTCTAGTCAAAGTCATGTAAAAATCAATCCATCAATCAATACCTGGATTAAAGTATATTTTGAATATATAACACTAAGTAGTGTCATATCCTGAAGGGGCCTCCAAGGTAAACCAGTAACAACATACATGGACTTGTAGAGGGTTGTTAAGACAAGTTAGATGTTGGAAGATGTTGTAGACATGGCCAATGGGACTCCACTTCAGCACCTTAAACAATTTTTTCTTCCCACATGCTTTAAAGACAACTGCCAGAGTCGAGACATAGTATCCTAGAGCCATAGAACCATTTTGTCCACCTAAACAGTACATAATCATCCCTGGGTCCAACCAGGAGTGTTCCTATATGTATTAGTCCATTTTCACATTGCTATAAAAATACTTACTAGCTGAGATGGGTAATTTGTAAACAAAGGATAGAGGTTTAATTGACTCATAGTTTGGGATGTCTGGGAGGCCTCAGGAAAAAAAATAAAATATATATATATATATAGTAATATATATATAGTAAATGGTAAGTATCATTACTGTACAGTATTTTATAAGTAATACAAAACATTAAAATAAAGATTGGGAGGTATGAAATATAAAATGAATAGAGATGGAAGTTCTCTGGAAGTTCTACTAATTTCTTCCCACGCTTCTTTATATCATCTTGCACACCCCTCTTTGGTGAATACTGTCTTAGTGTAAGATGCTGGGCATTCTCTGAACCACCTCTTGGCACTTCCAGAAAGCTTTTCATCATCCAGACCCAGCTCATCTCTCCAGCTGTCCCTGCTGGTGCTCTCCACCCATACTCCACTCTCCACCATGTCATACACACCATTTCCTGCACACCAATGTACTCTGCATTTTTTTGTTCATGTCGTTCCTTCATCCCAAATGCCTTTCCCTCTTTCTCCAGCTATCAAAAATTTCAACTTTCAAGACCCAGTTCAAGTTCCATCTCTACCCTGTAATTGACCTAGATCACTTCTCAAACAGAATGAATCACTTTCTTCCATAATATTAACCAAAATTACCTTTTCTAATCTTCCCAATATCCCTGCAAAGTTTTATTAAGTATTAGATCAGAAAAGGCTCTTAGAAAGACTATACACTCAGGAATCATTTCTATAATTTTTTACTAGAGAAATTTCTCTGAAAGTGTAGAGCTCTGGAAAATGTGAGGAGGAGCTGCGTTCTCTCCTGAGCATGAAGCCAGCTTTCGGTGTTGCTTCTCTGCAGCTGCCATTTGCCATTAATGATCGTTCTTCTCTTCCTCTGGGAGAGTAAGAGGGTACATGATGCAGTCTGAGTAGTTCCCATTTTTAAAAAAGAAAAAGAAAAGTCTCTTGGATATTGTGCAATGAATCCATACCCCTAGTAACTGACAGGAGCAGAATTTGAACTCATAACATCCCAGTGGCCATGTTCTTCCGCGTGCACTAAGGTTTCCTTTAGGTCTTAGCTTCCCATGACAGAAACTGCACTCGACATATATTCTCTTATGACATCTTCAACTAGCTCTGCAAATACATGTTATCGTCTCTAGATTGGAGCTAAGAAAACAAAGCCTTGGAAAGGTGAGGTGGCTTGCCTAATGTCACTTAGTTAGCAAACAGCAGGGATGGTTCCAAGCCAGATTGGTCTGATTGTAGATCCCATATTCTTTCTGTTTTGCCATGCAAGTGAATCTACTCTTCTCATTTCTTGTTACCTTCACCTCACTGTAGCTTTTAGTCATTTTGCCTTGGCTTAAATAACAACTTCAATATCTCTTTCCTTCATTGCTCTGTGAGGTAACTGAGGACAAGAAAATAAGTTTCACTCAATTCTCTGGTGGCCAGTACCTACATATAAAAAGTATGTGTATAAATATGAAGTTGAACCCTATAGGAAGAATGACTGCAAAGAAATATCAATTCACTGTGCTGTCTCCACCTCTAGAGCTTTTGTACCTATTGGCTTGCCAACACTGCATTTAACGAATATGGAAAGGAAACTGGAAAAGGTGGAATGATCTCCTAAAAGATCATTTTTAATAAGCCGCAGGCTATCCTTGGAAACTGTCTATCATAAGCAGAGTGCTGGCAACATCTCCTAAAAGATGACAGAGTTCCAGGTGGCCATCCAGATGCTGGAACATGCCTGAGGACTTGGGGGGATGTTTAAAAAATAAAAACAGAAAACAGTTTATTATATAAGATATAAAAAATAAAATATTTTATATAGCTGTAGAGTGTGTGTTTTGAGCTAAGTATTACTACAAAAGGGTCAGAAAGTTAAGAAAATTTAAAAATTCATAAAGTTAAAAAGTTATAATAACCTAAGGTTAATTTATTATTGAAGAAAGAAAAGTATTTTTTATAAACTTAGTGCAGCTCAAGTGCACAGTGTTTATAATGTACACAGTAGTGTACAGTAATGTCCTGGGCCTTCTCAGAATGTATCCCATAACTAAGTGACATAATTGTAGTAAATTCTTTGCAGATGTTGACCAAGTTAAAGATCTTGAGATGAGAAGATTCTCCTGGGTTATCTGGATGGGGCCTAAATGCCATCATATGTTTCCTGATAAGGGAGAGGCGGGGAAGATTTGACACAGAAGAGATGGCAATGTGACCACAGGAGCCAAGACTGGCGGAATGTGGCCACAAGCCAAAGAATGCTGGCAGCCACCAGGAGTTGGAAGAGGCAAGGAACCTATGCTCCTCTAGAGCTTTTGGAGGGAGTGTGGCCCTGCTGACACCTTGATTTCAGCCCAGTGATACTGATTTCAGATTTCTGATTTGTGGAAATTTTTTACAGCAGCCATCAGGAATTAATACACCTAGTAAGAGCTTTAGTGGAAGGAGATAGAAGTGAATGACACAAATGACAAGTGAGAACTTAGGCACAGTACTCAGCACCTCTCCAGTCTTGAGCAACCTGAAAATCTTGGCTGCCACATTCCAGAGAAACCAGGCTATCCCCTACCACCAAAAATTCATGCTTCTTTGGAAATTCTATCAGTTCAGATAGAAAATGATTATTTCTAAGATGACCACCCCATCATCCACCAAAGTCCTACAAAAAATAACTCTGTGAGGCTTTCCAGCCAGTTAAACCCACCACAATCACAGGCTTCTCTTTATTATTAAGTATAAGTTCTAATGGATGCTATCCTCACCTTCATTCTCATCCCTGTACCTCCTTGGATTTTATCTTGGATTTTAGGCCTGAACTCCCACTGGTCCCAAACCTTCTACCAGGCCACTTGGGAATGCTACCCAACTTAAAGCATCTTGTTATATCCTCAACCTTTTCCCTGTGCCTTTACTATTCTCACTCCCTCTGGGTTTTGCCTATCACACTGAGAACCCCAAGCCATTCATTCCTTCTATTGATCAGTCCCTCCTGTCTTTACTTCCTTGCCCACATGGTCCAGATCCCACAGCTCATTAGTTCAGCTGCTCCTTTGCCAATTATCTTCAACTCCCTTACTCCATCTGTCCTCCTGTTGCACCTGCCTGGCAAAATCCCACATCTAAATCAGTGCAAACATCTGGCCTTCCTCATCTCTACCTGGGGTTCTGGCATCCCTCATCTCTACCTAAGCTTCTGAGCAGTGGTGAAGAAAATCAAAAACATCCATCAGTACTCTAGCTAATCATGGTCTCTTGCATCACCTGGACCCTTAAGACAGTCTTTACATTTTTCTAGTTAGCTTTCTTGACAGTGGCTGTGTCAAACCTTTTCCACTCTTACCAAAGCCCCTATGACTTCTTTACCCTCTCAGCCTTGTGCATTTATTTATCCATTCATTGTTTCTTTCAACAAATATTGGTTGGGTGTCAACCATGTGTCAGACACTGCACTAAGCATAAGGAAATTAGAGTGAAAAGACAGACGTCGCCACTGCTCTAACAGGACTTAACAAGCTACCGGAAAATACTCTCAGCAGACCACCTTTCTGTGAGGGGGGACACAGAAGCTATTTGAGAATTATTTCCACCTTCCTGTCCCCAGACTCACATCATTGCACCTTCCTTCTATACTCCTTTCTTGCATAAAGAGAATAATGTTTCTCCTGTCAACAACCAGTCCCTTGGCCGATGCTCTGAGGTCCCTCGCATCCCCACTCCTTGAACACCTTGTTCTCTAAGTTACTCCTCTCTCTTGAATTGCCACCCTTTCTTTCTCTTTCCAATACCTTTTCACAATCAGTGTTTAAAAGATCTTAGGTCTCTTCCATCTAAAATATATATATATATATATATATATATATATATATATATATATATAAAATTGCTCTCCCAAGCTGCTGTCTTAATTCCTTCTATATAAGGGCTAACTCCTATAAAGAGTTGTCTGTGTCTCTCGCCTCTGCTTCTTGCTTTCCAGTCCCCCAAACACCCAGTATAATTTGGCATATGCTCCACTCACAGGTCCCATCTTTCTTGATGTCTGTATAGGATTTGACATTGTTGACTACCCCCTCCTTTTTGAAACACTGCTCCTTTAGTTTCCATAACACGACACTCTTCTGGTTTTTCTTCTGTCTCTCTGTGATAAGCAGAATTCTAAATATGTCTTCTCAAAATTCCCATCTCCCAACTATTTAATCAAACACTAATCTACTTTCTGCTGTGAGGAGACTTTACAGATGGAGCTCTGGTTACTAATCAGCTGACCTTTAAATCAGGAGAGTAACCTGGATTATCCAAGTGGGACCAATATAACCACAGCTGCCCTTGAAAGCAGAAGAGGAAGGCAGAAGAGTCCGTTAGAGAGAGATGGCAAGAGAGATTTGAAATGTGAAAAGGACTTATGCTGCCATTGCCAGTTTTAAAGGGAGCCATGAGCCAGGGAGTGTGAGTAGCCTCTGGAAGCTGAGGACATCTCCCCTTCAGCAAGGAATTTTGTCAACAACCTGAGAGAACCTGGAAATGGATGCTCCCCGCCAGGGCTTCCCACAAGGACTGCAGCTCTACTAACTCTTTGATTTCAGCCTGGTGAAACTCTAAGCTAAGAACAAGCTAGAAACCAGCTGAGTCGTGCTGTACCCAGACTCCTGACCTTCAGAACTGAGATAATAAATGGATATTATTTTTAAATGATGAATTTGTGGTTATTTGTTATGACCACTATAGAAAACTAATACACTATCTTCTCCCTCTCTGCCTCTTTGTAGACCTCTCTTCCTCTACCTGTCCCTTAAACATCATTTTCCATTCTACTCACTCTAAGTAATATTATTAGCTCTATGCTTCAATTTCTATCTATATGCTACTAAATCCATAAGCCATATCTCTTTGTCAGGTATCTTTGCCGACTTCCAAATCGATAAATCCAGCTGTCTGACAGATATCTCCATCCATATGACTCAGAGACACCTAAAACTCAACATATCCAAATTTGAACACATTATCTACCCCGATAGCTGCTCTCACTCCTGAGATCTTTATGGTGTAATAGTTATCCAGCTGCCAAAGTCTAAACCGGAGCCTCAGCCTGGCTTCTCCCTCTTCTTCGATGCTAAATCAAATCCCCACATGCTGTCGATTTCAACTCCTAATTTTCTCTAATCCTTTTACTTCCCTCAATGTTTGTAGCACAAGTCACCATCATCTCTCATCCATGCTGCTGCGAAAGCTCCTTACTGATCTCCTTCTCTCCAGTGGTACATCCTCCAGTTCATTCTCCCAGCTGCAGTCAAAATATCACTCCTGAGAGTCCCTCTCCTTGAGGAGAATAAAACAGAATAATATCACTAGAGACCAAGATGGCATTCTGAAGAATGAAGTAAAGGAAATCATCTGTAACTGGGGAAAAACAATTTTTTTTTTAATGAAAGAAAAAGTAAGAGACATGGAGGATTACTTTATGAGGCCTAATATCATCTATGATTTTTTTAAAATGTGGGAATGGGAAGTAATTTTTTAATGTAAGAAAAAAATCTCAAAGTTCTAGAAAGGAATTTCCAAATGCCCTAGACTATTAATTTAAAAAAGACCCACTGTTCCAGTTCTAGGTGCTTTGGGAGCCGCAGCTTAGGTGCAGACACAGTCAAGTCCAAGAACCACACCACAAACAACCAGTCCCCAAAATGGCACAGAAATGGTATCAAGAAACCCAGATCACAAAGATACAAATCTCTTAAGGGGGTGGACCCCAAGTTCCTAAGGAACATGCGCTTTGATAAGAAGCACAATAAGAAGGGCCTAGAGAAGATGCGGGCCAACAGCGCCAAGACCATGAGTGCGCGTGCTGAGGCTATCAAGGCCCTTGTAAAGCCCAAGGAGGTTAAGCCCAAGATACCAAAGGGTGTCAGCTGCAAG